CTGTATTTTCCATTGGCCTTGATGGTGCACGTCAAACGTTGGTCCATTTGTCCTTGTTCGACAGCGGACGACCTATGGATATTGACGAGCCGCCCTGATAAGTCCGAAGACCAACACGACAATTCACCACCTCGCTCTGTCACCATCTGCATACTCTCATACACAAGCTGCTTTGAACAAGACCATCGCCGGCTCCCCCTCTCAATCGCAGTAATGCGCCTCAATCGACCTTTCAGCTCTTAGTGTAGGCATCTCATCTCACCTCTGGGTAGCCAGCCTAACGAACCCCCTACCTGCCAGTCATCCTTTGATCGAGGCTGATCCTCTTGATCGAGGCTGAGATGCCTCTCATGCTTGACAACCCCATGGAGACGACCACTCACGACGGAGACCAAGTCATGAACCATGACGCCATATCCGCCGGGGATATTCCCATGAACGGCCCAATGCAGGTTGATGGTCTCGATGTCGATGATCTTTTTGGCGATGGTGTCAACCTCACCCTACCCAATGTCCGAGCGCCTAGTCGGCAGCTCGCGCAGCGTGTGGACGAGATGAGAACCCGAGGGTGTGCTCAAGGCATCGCCTGGTCCAAATCGGGAACCATCGCCTCCATCTCACCCGATGGCAGATCCGTTCAAGTCAGGTATTTGCGGGCCGATCCCAAAACTGGCAGCTGGGGCCTCAGCGAGCCTACTACAGTCGATGCCATCACCGCCAGCCCGTCCACGCCAATAGTCCACCTCGCATGGGCCGCCACCAGTAGCAACGAGCTCGCCGTCATCGATGCCGCCGGCCGCGTTGCCATATTAGCCTTCTCCGTCTCCCTCAACCGCCCCTTTCTCACTCGCAAGTGGGATGCCGATCATGTCGACGACCTCCATGCCATCGCCGGCTGCTTCTGGCTGCCACTTGCGTCTCAGCACAAAAATGTAAGAGCGCCTTCTTTGGACGTCGGCTGTGTACCTCGACCCTGACCATCTCGTAGTATCACGTCTTCCATGGGCCTGCTGTCAAGGATGCCACCGCTTATCGCTACGAGAGTTCCTTTATCCATGCCTTTGGACCCTGGCATCCTAATCCTGCCAAAAGCGCCCTCCTGTGTGTCACGACGAGTGGCATGCTTCGCTTGTTCTGGAGCCAGAGTAATAACAAGCTTGAAGAAACCACATTGGAACTTGACAGCTTCAGCTCTTCAGACGACCTCATCACACATGCATCCCTACACAGCGACAAGAGTAAGCCGTTCCGCGAGACTCTGCCTGTGTATGCCTGCTCACAGATCCTAGATCACATGTATGTCGCCTTGGCGACTGCCTCCCGCCAGCTTCGACTGGTCCGGGTATCAATATCCTGGGGCCCTCCACAACCAGATAACAAGCTACCACCCAGCGGCCAGCCCCTGAATCCTACCATGACGGCAAAACACCTGGCAATATCCAGCTGGATGCCCAATGGGCAGAGCGGAAACCCCATAGATGCCTCCATGACGCAGATCTCCCACATCGAGCTGTTACCTTCGCAGCTGGACAACACTGGCCACAACTGGGTCCCCATGAGCGTTCTCGTCGTTCGATCTTACCTCCCCACAACTAACAGTCCCTTCCAAGAGATGCAGAGCGTCATAGATCGGTGGGAAGTCGGCCATGAACCATCTCCCGCCCTGCACCCTGCGTTTGAGCAGATGGGCAGCCGCAGAAACAGCAGCGCCGGCGGGAACGACAAGGTACGTTTGCACTGCTCTGCATCACTTTCTCCTCATTCTAAACAATGCGTAGGATCCCAACAGACTCAAAAGACTGGACCCGGTTTTCATCAACAAAGTCATTGTCGGCATGCAGACCATCCACTTCGGAAAGGCTGTTTGCATAGCCTTTAGTGATGGCTCCGTTGAGTACCGCGACAGGTTCACAATGCAGGAGACTTATAACGAGTTGAGCCTCGACAGAGTCATGACCCTCAACCAGGTCGGCTTTACCTTTTCTGAGGGCACACCATGTACGTTCTGCCCTTATCATGACTGCGTTGCCTACTGACGCTTCACAGGCCTTCAAGTCGCATTCTCGCCCACCAACTGCTCGGTCGCTCAAATTCAAGACGATGGGCAAGTGAAGTGGAATGGACTACATTATCCGCTGGGCGACATTGGAAACTCCAATCAAGACGGTACGTTACTGGTTGCGTAACTTTTGGATAGCCTTGCTAATTCTTCCCAAGCCCAGTACGCTGCAGTCATCGCGGCTCTCACAGTAGCGGCTTCTGCTGCGACATTCTACCAGGTAAACTGCGATGATATTCTAGCGGCAGCAAAACCATACGCCGACAAGAAGAGCAAGTCCATGTATTCGCTACTACCACTTGACGGAGACTAACAATCTGGATAGCCTTCACACGAGACTGGGTCAACGAGCTTGTCCGGATGCTCAAAGTACCTGTCGACTACTCGGAGGAAGCTCACCACGAAGCCCTCGTGCGTAATAGTTCACTACAGCTTTGCTTCAGCATCCTCAACCACCTGGGCTTCAACGGAGAGTTCAACCCGCGGTCTTCCAGCGGCAAATTCGCCTTCCTGTCGCTCAATATCAGAAATGTCGTCATTCTGATCACCATTGCGAGCAACACTCCTACCAACATGCGGGAGAAGCTGAATCCCCTGGACGAACACGAGGTCATTGATGCGCTGTGCGGGTGCGCGCAGTGGTCTGTCGACTTGCTCGCGTATCTTGCCGATTCTCTATTCGCACTTCTTGACGACCCCAAATTCACCGAACTTCTGCAACCACGAAACTATTCAGAAATCTCCAACTACCTCCGCTCCCGATCTGATCCTTCTCTTCAGCTGCTCCTCTGCTCCGCCACACGCGGGTTTCTCTCCGCCGTCTGCCGTCGGCTGACGCATCTCGACCAAATCTCGCACCGGGCCATCGAGTTTTACGACCGTCGCGCTGCCATGCAGAACGCCACCGACCCGTCGGGCCAGTCCAAGGTCGCTACTATAGCCCTCAACAAGTCCTACCAGAGGATGCAGCACATCATTTCCAACAGCCACATCAAGGTGCAGGACTTTGACCACCTCCTGACGACGCTCACGAGCGACATCCGGTCGACGTACCAGACGGCCTTTGCCGGCCTCGCCGCCCAGGCGCAGCAGAAGAATGAAAGCAACGGCACCGCCAACACGCAGCAGGGCCAGAAGCAGATTGACGCCCAGATCCGCGGCGCCCAGATCATCTCGGAGCTCAACCTCCTGCTCGCCGCCCAGCCGCCGGCGCCGTTCCTGACCGTGCTCAAGAAGCTCTTCGGCCAGGACCTGCGCGCCTTCCGCGCCCAGACCGACCCGTCGAAGCTCTTCTTCGCCGACCTCGGGCTCCTCGAGGTGGACGACGCGCCGCGCGTGCTCGGCGCGCGCAGGGCGGCGGCCCGCTACGTCGACGTCTTCCGCCGCGTCGAGATGACCAACAGGGCCGGCCCCAGGGAGGAGACGCCCGAGGAGCAGCTGCAGCAGCGCGGCGGCCGCGGCGGCCCGCTGCAGTGGAGGCGGTGCGTGCGGTGCGCAGCCGTCATGGAGGACGTGTTCGGCTCGCGGCCGGGGTTCACGTTTGTGCTGACGCAGCAGAGGAAGTGTTCTTGTGGGGGGTACTGGGCGCTGCTCCCCAAGGCGTCCATTGCGTGAGGTGTGCTTTTTTTTTTCCCCTTTACATCAAGGCGCCGTTTTGGACAGCTAGAGATATGCGTGCACCCACTGGTCTGGTTTACGACGAGGGGTGCCTGAGAATGAGCCAGAGAGACGACATCAGTACATCACATAGAAAGGCCTAATCTGACATGAAATTCCCTGTACCGACGAGTAATGATACACGCACACCAGCAAAGGTGGGATGATGTTTTGATATAGCGGCTGTGGACACTTCATATTGTGCAAGCACCGATACAATGGGTGCTTCCGTCTGTTGCTTGCTAACTCTTTGCGCGTGTCACGGCGATGTACGAGTTGCAATGATACCAATATGCTGTCTCTCGTCCCGATATGGCTCGTGACACTTACCGTCACCACAGCGTTCATGTCGATAGCGACAGGACTTGTTTCCAATGCCGTTGATCTGATGTATGTGAGAAAAGCGGATGGAGGATAGGAGGCAGCTCAGAGGCAAGGGCTACGCAGCTGAATTTGCTAAAGTGTGTAGCCTGCAAGAGCGCAGGGTGTCAATGGAGCATCGGAGCCACAACGGCATTGGGTTGCAAGGTAAGTCCTCGGCAGTCACTCTCAAGCATTCTCGATCACGGACTCTGCCCGCTGTAGATGTATCATTGCAAGAGACTCTGGTAACTCCTTGACTTTGCCTGCTATCATCTTGACGGCGTGCTTCCTACATCTACCGAAGATGAACGCTCGTGATCCCTAATGGCAGATTGAATGTCAGCACACACTGCACAAACCCATATTCTGGTCCTGCAAATCTGGGGCGTGTTACTCGGACCGCTAGACCTCAGCCCTGGATGCCGGGTAGGGGATCTCCCGTGTTGGAGATCCGGCATAGCGCGATTGGGGGTTATTGCGAGCACGCCATACTCCTTACTGAAAAATTGACTTTATGGTGCAAGCCCATGTTCTACATTGAGGCTGTGTTCACTCACTTGCCGTGATGGATATGCGTGGCATGCCTATGATAGAGCAAAAGGTCTCGACGTATCAAGCCAGCAAGATATGCGACAGGCCACTGTATCGCTAGGTCTCTTGGAACCAAAACCACAAGAGCATCACCATACAAGAGAGAAACCGTAGATGGAGGGTAATCACAACGAGGACGGCTATTTTCTCTGCCCTTGTAGGCTATTCGCTCTGCCCGACCAGGGTAAATACACGCTAGACAAGGGTCAAGTTCCAAACACAGCTCCACCACCTAAATCAGCTGGGGCAACTATGTACCTCTGCTCGTCTCCTGTACACACGAGTCTCTCGAGGAGTCTCTCGATGAATTCTGAGCTGAAGACCAGCTGTCACCAGCTAACAGAGCAACCCAGGCAGCCCCCTAAGGCTCTGCATTTACCAACACCCTCAAATACAACAACACCACCAAATACGCCTATTCTGAGCCCTCTAGACATCGCCAACGCCTCATTTTATCGTCAAACGAAGCCTCTCCGATACCTCCTTCACCGACAGACTCACCGGTCGTCACCGAGACCTTCACCGAGCCCTTCACCGAGCCCTTCACCGAGGGTCCCATCGTCTCCTTCACTACAGATACGCAGTGCCTCTCTACGACTACAGCTAGAGCCTATAGCAAGCAGCAAGGAGGGTTCTGAATAGCCTCCAATTAAGGCCAATTCAGCGGTTACGGCAGTCCTCCAATTAAGGCCAATTCGTCGTTTACCGCAGTCTTTCCGATATCCTGATTTGTAATGCAAAAGGATTGGTACCAGCTGCCTCAGGCCGCCAAGGGCTACCACCGCCCGTTCAGCGACTCGCCTGGTTTGCTAGTAACTCAAAGGTACAAGAGACGAGCAGAGGTATATAGTTGCCCTAGCTAATTTAGGTAGTGGAGCTGTGTTTCTGGCTTATCCCCTGTCTAGCGTGCATTTACCCTAGTCGGGCAGAGCAGCCTACAAGGGCAGAGAAAATAGCCTTCCTCAATCACAACGCAGCTGCGGCACAAGAACTGCCTTGTCGTCAGAGTGACAGGCCGCATGTCTCTTGTGAGAGGCTCCGAGGGGCAAGTCGTGGGTCGGTAAGATCGAGTGCCGATCCTGGTTGGAATAGATGCGAAGGACATGCACGGGGAGTGAGTGTCCCACGTGCTGCGCAACCCACTATTGGCAGCACAACAGCTAGTCAGTGAACACGGGATAGTTGAGTCTCGCTTTGTTTGCTGTCATAGGTAACCTGTTATGAGACGCTCGCGGATCCTAGGAAACAACGAAAGTACGGCGCCTGTAACAGCAGCAGACTATTGACGGGCGTCTTGCCCGCCGGCATATATGTGCGCTGATCGGAGGACTTCAGTCAATGGCACGGACGGGCAAGACTATTCTCAGCGGGCGAGACTGAGACAGGCGGAGGCAAGACGAGCAGCGGACCCGGATGCAAGGCCACCATGCCATCCGCTGCGGGCTGGGCCAAACAGCACGGACAAGGGAAACCAAGTGCAGGGACCGTGGGAATGTCTTTTTCTTGTCCTGTCGTGGAGCCGACGTGGAGCAAGCCGCCTCGTCACAGACGTCGAGTTGAGGGGCCGCTTCATCAGAGACATCGAGTTGAGGGGCCGCTTCGTCAGAGACGTCGAGTTGAGGGGCCGCCTCGTCCCAGAGGCACCGCAGTCGCAGGCGATCGAGCATACGACAGGGGAGTGGCTTTTGGGCGAGGTAGAGGACCGGGGCTTGCATTGGTGGCAGTGGCTGGCAGCCAACAACGAAGCACTCATTTTTCTTTTTCCCGTTGCACGCCGCAGTGGCAAGTGGCGTTGCTCATGATAGGCGCAATCACTTGATAAGGAAGACGTTTCCGGAGAAGCATGGCGGTCCAGTGCTATGGCGAGATGCCGGGGTCATGGTGTTTCCCATGCCTGTGCCACCTTGCTCTAGCTTCACGACGCAGGAGACGATTGCTAGACATTCGGGGGCCTTGCGAGCTTGAGAGTGGTTGGCACGTGCCGCCGATGTGATGCATCCAGCGAAACTGAAAATGGGATGATTTCTGAGAATGTTTTGGTCAGCAGTATGACTACCCAGTGGATGCGGTCGAAAGGATAACGAGCGCGGGCCACTCGACCCCTGGCCGTACGGGGTTTCATGCAAGTGATGGCAAGCCACGGTGCCTGCTCACCTTGCTCACCCACCGCAACCCAACGCCAGACGGATGTTTCGGTCATTAGGGGAGTTGGGTTGTTGATGACGGGAGATGAGTGGGTGAGACGGAGACAGGCTTGACGCGTGGGCGGTTGAGGGGTGTCCAGGCCGAGGGCCTGGCAGCTGTCAAGGGGTAGTTTAGTGGGTGTTCCTTGTCTTGGGCGTAGAGTCGTCGACTGTCTCAATGGCTTGACATGTTGGCCCGACTGCAAAGGTACATGTAGATAGATGCTGTATCCTGGGTGAGATGAAGCCATAGGTGAAATTTTGGATCGACACGAGCCGCCTCGAGCCGTGGCAAAGGAAGCAATGACCAGAGTGTAGAAGGCGGCAGTGGCAGCCGTATGGTTAGAGGCAGCTAATGCTGGGCAACAGCAACGGGCGGTTCATTAATTAAGGCAGGGGCACCGAATGGGGCATGGCAGATGGCGGGCAGGTAGGCACTGTGCACCAAGGAAGGCAAGGAGCCGTTTAAGAGGCTGAGACGAGCCTGCCATGAGCATGATGTGCCTAAGGTACCTGCGAAGGGTATCTTGGTCCTGGTTCTGGGGCTACAAGGGAAAGACGAAAGACGGAACCCCCACCGCGCCGGCCCGCCAGCTTCCCCAGCCAGTGACAGACAAACGTGGGAGGGTCTCTTTCCCTTGCTCTCTGTTGTGAGTGGTGCCTGCCTCCACTATCTCTCTCTCTCTCTCTCTCTCTCTATCTTGGGTCCGGACGACAAACGCAAATGCGTTTTCCTTACCACCCACCACGGAGGAACTGCCCTGAGAGGGTCCGACCATCTTTATCAAGTTGAATGTCGCAATTTTGCCTGGTGCAATAATCACCTCGTCGTCGGCTTGAACCCCTGAATTGTCCCAGTGGTTCGGTCTCGTATTCACGCCTCTGTCTCCAACCAGCTACAAGTAGCTAGCTGCCTTTGACTGCCAGCCGCGCCGCTTGCGGTGGGTGACACGAGCTAGGTGCTCAGGACAAAGGCACCACTGGTAGCCCCTCCAGCTGCTCGCTCGAAGGACTCTTTGTTTCCAAGAAACTGAAGAATCTACCGATGACACCCAAATCCAGGGGCCAGTCTGTCTGTCGACAAAGCCAGCGAGAAAAAGTGGCAGAACCCAGTCAGTGGGTGAGGAGACCTCCAAAAAGGAAAAGAAACGACGGAAACGGATACTTATTAGACCATGGCCGTGAGCTTGACAGCCGCTGGTGTCAACCTTGTCTCCTGCGTCGCGTTATCTCGCGCTAATAAGAGACCCTGTATAGGCACCCAGCACCAACACCCAGCCAAGCACCCAGCACCCAGCACCCCGGCGCCCCCATCCCTGTCCGCCTGGGTCTTCTGCCAATTGCCTATGATGGTCGTCCACCATTTTACTTGGACCTCCACCATCCACCCACGTCTTTTCGGTAGTCGAGACGAGTCGAGCCCAAGGTGCAGGGAGAGAGGCCAGGCGATCAGTCAATCCGTCGTCTAAGATCTACGCGTCAAACCCACCCCTGCTCCCCTCTCTCCGCGGGCCAGCCAGGACAGGCCTTCGTCCTTGGTGACCATTGCGAGTGGCCGACGACATTGCTTCTTTTACACGGGCGGTACCTGGCACAGCATCATGGAACATGGGTCTGGCATGGCCAGATAAGCTCTGGTGCGAGCCATTGCGCCAGACAGACAGGAGCACACACCAGAGAGGCGCGAGGCACTCGCCGCCTTGAGAGGAGAGGGCAAATCGATGTATCGAGGAGTCGAGGTGTCGACCTGGCTGGTTCCATAAAGTACTTGGACGCCGCCCGCTCTTCCCGAGCTTGCGCCCGCACGTCGACACTTAGCTTCCCCCCTTCGTCAACCCCCAGTCGCCCGTCGTTTGTTCTGTCCGACTGCCCCGTCGCCCCCGGCCATTTTCGCTCGCAAATCCACAATTGCTCTCCTGCTCCATCGTTTCCTCCTTCATAATTCAACCAACGCCTCGCTGATCCATCGACGGACGGGCTTTTCAGCTCAGCTCAGCCCAGCCCAGCTCTGCTCTGCTCTGCTCTGCGACGACACGGCGCATGCGCACGCGACATTCATCTCCGCCGAACAGACTGTAAAAGGGTTGCGCGCATTTCCGGGATATTGCCTGCTGTGGGGGTTGCCAACTCTGCCCCTTCCCTGCACCATCCGCCACATCGCTGTACCTACCGCCTGCGCCGCTGGCACTGAACCTCACAGCATTGTCCGCTGCCATCGTCAGCAGCCCCAACGCCCACCATGGCGGCCACCGAGATAGACCTCGATGACCTCAACTACGTCCCCAAATACCCGTATAACGGCACCGGCGATTCTGGAGGCGATCCCCTTAAGGATGACCTCAACATCTGGTACGAGTCTGGCGATATCGCCTTTCTCATCATATCCACGGCACTCATCCTGCTCATGATTCCCGGCATCGGCTTCTTCTACTCAGGCCTCGCCCGTCGCAAATCCGCCCTCTCCCTCATCTGGCTCTCTGTCATGTCGGCCGCTGTCACCAGCTTTCAGTGGTTCTTCTGGGGCTACTCTCTGACCTTTTCTCACACCGCCGGTCCTTTCATTGGCAACTTTGCCAACTTTGGCTTCAACAACGTGCTGGCCCGCCCCTCTGTCGGCTCAGCGCGCATCCCGGATCTCCTGTTTGCTCTCTACCAGGGCATGTTCTCCGCCGTCACCGTCGCTCTCGCCACTGGCGCCGTCGCCGAGCGCGGCCGCATGCTGCCCTGCGTCATCTTCATGTTCATCTGGGCGACCATCATCTACGACCCCATTGCCTGCTGGACATGGAACCCTTCGGGTTGGTCCAGCCGCATGGGCGGCCTCGACTTTGCCGGCGGCACCCCCGTCCACATTGCCTCGGGCGCCGCTGCTCTCGCGTACTCGATGATGCTCGGCAAGCGTCGTGGCCACGGCACGCACGAGCTCAACTATCGCCCCCACAATGTCACGCACATTGTCATCGGCACCGTCTTCCTCTGGGTCGGCTGGTTCGGCTTCAACGCGGGATCGGCCCTGTCCGCCAACCTGAGGGCCGTCATGGCGGCCTGCGTGACGAACCTGTCGGCCTGCGTCGGCGGCGTCACGTGGTGTGTGCTCGACTACCGCCTCGAGCGCAAGTGGTCGACGGTGGGCTTCTGTTCCGGCGTCGTCGCCGGTCTCGTCTCCATCACGCCCGGCTCGGGCTACGTGCCGCTCTGGTCGGCGCTCATCTTCGGCTCGTGCGGTGCGGCGTTTGCCAACTACGCCACCAAGCTCAAGTTCCTCCTGCGCGTCGATGACGCCCTCGACATTTTTGCCGTGCATGGCGTTGGCGGCCTCGTGGGCAACATTCTGACGGCCTTCTTCGCGGCCGACTACATTGCGGCACTCGACAACGTCAGCTCGATCGACGGCGGGTGGATCAACCGTCACTGGATCCAGATTGCGTACCAGGTGGCCGACTCGTTCGCGGGAGGCGCCTACTCGTTTGTGGGCACGTGTATGATTCTTTTCCTCATGAACATGATTCCGGGGCTGCGGCTGCGCGTGGACGAGGACGCGGAGATCCTGGGCATTGACGATGCCGAGATTGGCGAGTTCGCATACGACTACGTCGAGCTGACGCGCGAGGTGCTGAACGACGTCGAGAACGAGGCGGCGAGCGGCTACTCGAACGACGGCGGGTACCCGCCTGCGGAGAAGAACAGCATTCCGCTGATGGACGCCAGGGCCTTTGCGGGGTCATCGCAGTACCAGGGCGGCCTTTACGGGCCTACCGACTAACTGGCGATGCTCGGTGGCGTAGCGAGCGTGGGTGCTGTGTGCGTATAATGATGGAGTGCTGTTTGACGGTTTATGATACCTGGGTTCGAGCTTGGATGCTTGCACACCCACTGCATTTTTCCAATTTCTTATTTCTGTACGATATATAGACAATAGCCCTGGCTAATCTGATCTTGTTTCCGACTTTTGATTCTCGGAGCTGATGAAGTGAGCAAGGGAGGTGGAATGATGGTCGATGCGGCATGGTAGATAGATGGTGGTCAGTTGTCGGCAGCTGTAGCCACTTGCTGCCTCCAGAACAGCCCCACCTCGATTGTAGGCAACCGCCACCATCATGAGCATTCCCGTCGACATCAACCTTGGCCATCTGTACAGCCTCGACTTTCCAGTGACAACAACACCAACACAATGTCTCACTTGGCCAGGTTCATCGACGTTCCTTCCTGTGAATCCCCAACATGTCCTCCCGGGAACCGTCCCTCGCAGACAAAGAGGTCTTCTTCACTGAGCTCATGGCCCTAGGCACTGACCTCGACAGCGAAGAAGATGCCATCGATCAAGTTGAGGCCGAGCGAGGCAGACGCTCAAGGTCGGCGCTCCAAGGAAGACCATCGAGAACCACAAAGCCAAAGAAGCGCTCTACGCCCCCTGCCTTGCCCATCTCGAAGCCGCCAGTGTCTCCCTCGCACCCTCGAAGGACGGCCTCATCCCCTCTGCCTGCAAGGGAACCGCTGGTCGCCAAGACGGTCGAGCGAACGCCTCTTGCCGCGATGAGGAGGCTTGGGAAAGAAGCCGCAAAGGCCTCGCCCTCGGTCGTCGAAGAGACGCCTATCCCCGACTCGACACGTGCGCCGTTCCAACCCATCCACCTCCTGCGCACGACGTCCACGCCCAACCCGCCGATGAGGCAGCTGCACCCGCCGCCGCACCGCGACGAGTCGCCGTCCCTCAACGCGACGGGGAAGAAGCGCAAGCGTGACGCCCCCGTCAAGCTCGTGCCCGCGCAGCAGCAGATCTTTAGAGACCAGCACTTCTTCTTCATCCCCAACGACGACATTGCCCCGGCGAGGCGCATCCGCATCCGCAAGGCGCAGGAGTATGGCGCCTCGTGGACGCGCAGCCTCGAGCGAGCCTCGCACGTCATTGTCGACAAGGGCCTCTCGTGGAAGAACATTGAGCCCGTCGTGACGTCTGCTGGCGGCGCCGGCACGGCCGTTTTCGTGAATGAGACGTATCCCCTCGACTGCATCCAGTTTCGGAGCGTCCTGAACCCGAAGCAGAAACAGTACCTGGTCACGGGATACCCGGGCGAGCAGCTGGTCGAGGCGCCAGTTGTGGCGGCCCCATCTGAAGTGCCTGTGCCTGCGGCATCGCCTGCGGCATCGCCTGCGTCCCTGCAGTTGAAGCCGCCGCCGAACAACCCCAAGCGCTTCGGTTATGTGCCGCCGCCCAGCACTTGCTCCCAGAGCGAGCAGTCGGCAGAGGAGGCACAGAACGAGCCGGCTGTAGTGGAGGCGCCAGAAACATCCGCGGCCCAAGAGGCAGAGACGGGAGACGAGCTCGCCGAACTCATCTCGCAGATGCAGGAATTTAGGGATGTTCCCTCTGACTCTGATGACGACAACGGCGACGGCGACGGCGACGGCGACGCCCCCGCAGCAGGCTTCGCGGAGACCCTTTCAGATGCAGAACACTCCGACGGTGAACCCAGCGGCAAGAAGCAGAGACCGGTGCGCGCCACGCGACGCAAGCAGATTGCCTGGGAGGAACGCTTCGCCTGCACCAGAGGCGGGCTCCAGGACGACGACGGCAAGAACCCCAACGCGCGCACCATTGAGATGCTACAGCACATGGCCGACTATTATGGCCGCATCAACGACACGTGGCGGCCCATTGCCTACCGCAAGGTCATCTCGCTCCTCAAGCGGCAGACGCGCAAGATAGCGACGGCTGCCGAGGCCATCCGTCTGCCCGGCGTGGGTGCGCGGCTCGCCGACAAGATTGAGGAGATTGTCACGACCGACAGGCTGCGGCGTCTCGAGCACGCCGAGCGCGACCCGGCCGACGAGACGCTGCAGCAGTTCGTGCGCATCTACGGCGTCGGCAACGCGCAGGCGAGCCGCTGGATCGCCCAGGGGCACCGCACGCTCGACGACCTCCGCGCCGGGGCCGTGCTGACGGCGAACCAGCGCATCGGCATCGACCACTACGACGACCTCAACACACGCATCCCGCGCCGCGAGGTCGAGGCCCTCGCCGCCGTCGTCCGGTCGGCCGCCGCCGCCCTGGACCCCGACGTCGAGCTCATCGTCGGCGGCAGCTACCGTCGCGGCGCCGCGTCGAGCGGCGACATTGACCTGATCGTCACGCGAGAGGGCACAACCTCGGCGCGCGAGCTGCTCCCGTTTCTGGCGCAGCTGACGCGCACGCTCGAGGCGCGCGGGTTCCTCGTCGCGGCCCTGGCCACGTCGCGCGACGACGATGCCGGCGGTTCAAAGTGGCACGGTTGCTGCGTGCTGCCCGCGCCGGACGCCGCGCGTCTGCACTCGAGCGAGGGCGAGGGCGTGGGCGTGGGCTCCGAACGAGGCTTCGACCCAGGCGCGCCCTCACCCTCGCCGCCGTACCGTCCCGTGTGGCGCCGGATCGACCTTCTCGTCGTGCCGGCGGCCGAGCTCGGTGCCGCGCTGCTGTACTTTACCGGCAACGACATATTCAACCGCAGCATGCGGCTGCTGGCGGCGCGCAAGGGCATGCGGCTCAACCAGCGCGGGCTCTACCGCGACGTCCTGCGGGGGCCGGGCCGGGCCAGGGTGACGGACGGGGCGCTGCTCGAGGGGCGGGACGAGAGGCGCATCTTCGCGCTGCTCGACGTGACGTGGCGCGAGCCGCACGAGCGGTGGTGCTGATGTGTGGCGGGACGGAGTAGGCCTTGACGGGTATTTGCATGCACGACTGGAGCTGCGTCTTTTTTTTTTTTTCTTGTTTGCTTGTCTGGCTCGAACGTGGCGTTGGAAAGGGCTGTTTGATGCAGGCTTGACTTGGGCAGACTGGCACTGGGTAGAAGCTGCAAGAAAGTGTAGAATGACAGACTTGGATTGCCACGTGCTGACGAGTCATTGCATTGAAGAGTCATTGGAGGCCGACTGCTCTGCTCGTCAGTCTCGAGCTTACTAGCTGGTGTTCGTCGGGAAGGATTTGTACATGTAGTGGCCGCCTGTAGAGCACAGGAAATCGCACCTCGTTGAACACGGCACAGGAATTCGGGCAGGGTTCACTTGATGCTCGGTGCCTCATGCTGATACGATGCTTGGACATGATGCTCCAGACGCTTGATACTTGATTCTCATGTTCATGCCAAGATCATGTCTTATAAATGGAGTGTACACGATGCATCAACCCCATCGTTGAACGCATGACAAGCACCAAAGGCTGACGAACAGCATGGCGATACAGGCCACAGCAGGACCAGCAATGCTCCAGCAGCTGCACACTTCATCCCGCGTCTCCCACCTTCTGTCCATGGTCCTGACGTCGCAGTCCTTACGTCGCATCACAGGCCTGGACGCCTCCAGGCCCAATCTCGCTCTGCCACGTCCCCCATCCCCAGACAAGCACCAGACCCAAATAACACGAGTGATGCCCCAGCCGCAGCAGGCGTCTCGTGCAGCCACGGGCAGGCCACAGACGGTCGTCTGGGCCGTCAGACGCGCTTCCCCTGCCGCAGCAAATCGCCCACTTTGGGCGGCAACACGAGCGCGCCGCGGTCGTTCCGGCGGAAAAAGTCGACGAGCGCCACGGCCGTCTTCTCGGGCAGGTCCTCGTGGATGAAATGGCCGGCCTCGGGGAAGACTTGCAGGGCATACCGCCCCTGCATCTGGCCAATGGTCAGCGTCGTGTCGAGGCGGTCCGTGCCGGCGAGGAGCAGCAGCTTGCCGCCGCGAGCGGCGAGGAAGCGGGCCGAGAGGCCGGTGAACCAGCCCTCCCAAAAGGGCTGCGTCGCGGCGAGGTCGGTGCGCCAGCGCCAGGGGCGGGCCGAGGTCTGGGCTCTGCTGCCCGTGTCGGCCTCTGTGTCGGCCTCTGTGTCGGCGGCAGCGGCGACGCGCTCGACGAGGAGGGCGGGCACCGACGTGCGCGCCGACAGGGCGTTGCGGACGGTGCGCGAGCGGACGTGCCACTCAATGGCGGCCTCGACGGAGGCGAAGCCGGCGGGGCGCGTCGACAGGTAGGCATGCATGCTCTGCAGGGCGTCCATGGCGGAGCCCTCGACCACGTCGAGGACTGCGTGGCCGAGGAGGCGCGGGGCTAGGTCGGGCGGCGGGTCGGCGGCGAGGGAGGTGATGACGGCGCCGCCGAGCGAGTGGCCGACGAGGACCATGGGCGGCAGGGCGTCGGCGGGCCAAGCCATGCGGCGGGCCGTCAGGGCGATGACGGCGGCGAGGTCGGCCGTCAAGGTCGGCAGCGAGAGGTCGGGGCGGTCCTGGTCCGGGGTCACGGTGGCGCCGTGGCCGCGGGCGTCGAGGGACAGAAAGCCGGCGTGGGGCAGAGCGCGGCGGATCTCGGCGGCGACAAGGGCGAAGGAGAGGGCGGACGAGCCGGCGCCGTGGTGGGCTACGAACAGGGGACCTCCTTGCGGTGAGGGGGACGTCAGGTAGGCATGGTACGTGGTCGTGGCATCGTGCTCGAGGAACAGCTCGCGCTCAAAGTAGGTCGTCCATGGCACGGGCTCCCAGGAGCGGCCGGGGCGCGAGAGGGCGGCGCCTGGGCGGGCGAAAAGACGCTGACTCGGCGACGGGATGATGGTGCCCGTGGACGACGCCGACGAGGCCGAGGACGAGTCGCCGTCATCGAGGTGGTCTGGGAGTTCCGAGAGTTCATCTGCGTTGTCTTCTGGTAGCTCGTCAAAGGGTTCTGGGATGGCGTCGACCTTGCGCTTGGCCCAGGCCCGCTGGAGGTCACTCATGGAAGAGCCTGGCCGAGATGGCAGTGCTCGAAAGAAAGCAGCAAAGTCCAGAGACCAATGCCGAGAAGCAGACGTCGATGGTTGATGTAACTGCTGGAGACAGATGGAAAAAGGCAACGAATGTACTGGGGTCAGAACAGCAGCTCAGCTTCCAATCGTCGAGAGCAGGAGCGCGGGTGCCTCAACCCATGAAGCAGAAGCAGAAGCAGAAGCAGAAGCAGAAGCAGAAGCAGAAGCAGTAGTATATGAACAAGAGGGAGACGTATGCAAAGAATAAGAAGAAGGGGAAGAAAACATTGGATGATGGTAAGGTGAGCTGTTCATCCTCTGCAGAGAAGAAGAAGAACCGTACGTACCTTGCGTGGACGAATATCCTGCCATGTTGGTGGCATGACGTTGGAAGGAGCGCCCCACGTCAGGTACCAAGTACCTTCCTTCCTTGCCGATGCCTGACGTGGGAAGGTGGGAAGGTGGGAAGGTGCATACGTAAGCAGCACCTTCCTGCCGTGGCTTTCGACATGGCAACAACCTAGGCACCTAGGTACCTTCCTTACCTAAGGCGAGGTACCCAAGGCGAGATACCCAAGGCGAGATACCCAAGGCGAGGTACCCAAGGCGAGGTACCCAAGGCGAGGTACCCAAGGCGAGGTACCCAACTCAACAAACTGCACAGCAGCATCACTTTCATGGCCGTTCATTCATCCCTACTGCATGGTATCCACCAAGGGAATGGTATCTACAGCTGCGTACCTTGGCCAAGAACCACTCGAAAATCAAACTCGAGAGAAAATAAAAAAACAGAAATGAAAAAAATAAAAAGGCCCCATGCCGGCCAAAGCCAAACACGCACAATGCGCAGATGTGTAGAAGCCCCAAATGAGTGTAGCATGGTGCTGAGTAGGTGTGTCCTGGGCCCGAAGCAGTGCGACGACGTGTGGGCATCTCTCTTGTTTACAGGTGAAATAAAGGCAAATGTGCGTGTCGTGGTCGTATTCCCCCCAACTCCTAGAGCACGACGCCTAGACCACGAGAGGGGGCGTGCCGAGCTCATCCCCTTGTCGTCGCCGCCTCCTATTATGCAGTGGTGCTGTGCTGTTGCAACACCATGTCATCCTCCTCATGCTACACGTTGCTCAAAACCCCCGGTAGCCGGCCCCTTGACCGTACCCTCCCTGGCCGTAGCCCTGGTTGTGATACGACCTGTCGCCTCCGTTGCCGCCCATGTCCGGCACCGTCGGTTGCCGCGTCACGGCCTGGCCCACCGGTGCCGCCGATGCCATGAGCCCCTCCCTGCTGGTGCTGCGCTCGTGCATCGGCGTGCTCGGCGTCAGTGGCCGGTACGCCGGGTGCACGCTGCTGCCGACAAAGTTGAGGCTGTTGCTGGCCTGGCTCGGGTGGTTCTTGTGGTACGTGTTGTACTGCGCCGCCGCCGCGCGGTCGTACATGTCGCGGGACGGGTCGCGCGCGTGCGACGCCACGCTGGTCTGGTTCTTCTCGACGGCCGACGCCATGGCGTACGTCGTCTCGCCGTTCGGGCCCGCCTCGGGATCCTTGCGGTCGAGAAGCAGCGAGTTGCGCGCGTCGAGTGGTGTGAGGTTGTCCATGTCCCGCTGCATTTTCTCTGTGTCATTTCGTTAGCTTAGCAATCTCGCAACAACAGCCTCGACGAGGCGAGAATCACGTACCCATCTCCTTGCGACGCTGGCGGTGCGGGTTCACCTTGCAGCAGGCGTTGAAGGCGTTCCATACGATGAGGATGGCCAGGATACCCGTCAGTGCCGACTGCACGGCAATAAGCACGACACCCGTCACCGTCTGCGTCGTCTGTGCGATGCCAAACTGCTCGACAAAGACGAGGATGCACACGACCGAGATGACGCGGACGACCTGGATGGTGATGCTGATGACGTTGCCCGACTTGCGCTCGTAGGGCCGCTTCCACAGCAGCAGAATCAGCAGCAGCGCCTCCACGATGAGCTGGCCCGACGCCTGGAACAGGCCGTGGCCGTCACCCGCCGCGATGATGGTGCCCTTGGCGAACATGTAAATGATGATGGGGATGAACAGCCACCAGTAGTCCTTCTTGTACGACTCGTAAAAGAGCGAGTACTTGACCCAGACCTCCTTCTTCTCGTAGAGGCCCGAGCTGTCGCCCTCGGCCTGCTTGAGCTTGCGCGCCGTGTTCCAGATCTTCCAGGCGAAAAAGGCGAGGATGCCCGTGAAGACGGCCAGCGTCACGCCGGCCAGCGTATTGGCCGCCCACGAGTCGCCGTGGGTGAACTGGAAGATGCAGTAGAGCACCCAGATGCCGTACAGCAGCAGGATCAGAGACGTGATGGTGCGCGCGATCGAGCCCCAGTAGTGCTCGCGGAACCCGGACAGGGCCTTGGGGAAGCTGCCGAAGAGGGCCCAGAACTCGAGGATGACCTTGACGAGAAGAATGCTGACGACAATGGCGGCGATGACAGAATGTTTTATGATGAGCAGGACCCTTTTTTTTGGGGGGGGGGGGAGCAGGATCGCTGAGCTTTGTTGACGTAGGCCGTGATACCGTCTATTCGTC